TAAGCCGCTCCTCATAGGGCTTGTTCTTCAGACCCTTGATCATTTTAGTCGCCCTCCTCTGAACACATTCCACATTCCTTTCAAGCCTTATAGCAGCCTGCAATAATAATAGGAATTTTTTTCGTATTCCTTTTTTCCATATTGGAGATGATATATAAATATAATATAATATAATGTTCGTTTGTGGGATTAACATAACTCAAAACCCACTGGATGAATTGACACCAAATTTGGACACAATACACCTATCAGGCCAACGAGTGACCATCACTCATAAAAACACTGAAAAACACAGCAAAAGAGACTTAAAGCCAAAAACGGAAAAAAATACATTGCAAAGCATGCACACAATCATATATATACGTAAACGCACATATACACACACAAAACAAATATACACAGACTGGGCCACAGCAATGCATGGCAGGGGATGGCATATATATATAACAATGGCTTCAAACTACAAGAAGAGGAGATTCCATCTGAACATGAGGAAGAACTTCCTGACTGTGAGAGCCGTTCAGCAGTGGAACTCTCTGCCCCGGAGTGTGGTGGAGGCTCCTTCTTTGGAAGCTTTTAAACAGAGGCTATGGCCATCTGTCAGGGGTGATTTGAATGCAATATTCCTGCTTCTTGGCAGAATGGGGTTGGACTGAAGGATGGCCCAGGTCTCTTCCAACTCTTTGATTCTATGATTCTGATCTATCTATCTATCTATCTATGCTATCTATCTATCTATCTTCTTATCTATCTATCTATCTAGGTATAATATAGATATAATAGATAGATAGATAGATAGATAGATAATAGATATATAATAATAATAAATAGATTAATAATAGATAGATAGATAGATAGATAGATAGATAGAATAATAATAAATATAATAGATAGATTAATAGATAGATAGATAGATAGATAGATTAAGATAGATAGATAGATTAATAGATAGATAGATAGATTAGATGGATAGATAGATTAGATAGATTAAATAGATAGATAGATAGATTAGATAGATAGATTAGATAGATGAGACAGATTAGATTAGATAAATTAGATAGATAGATAGATTAGATAGATAGATAGATTAGATAGTTAGATAGATAGATAGATAGATAGATAGATAGATAGATAGATAGATAGATAGATATGGTGAAGCCATTGTATTTCTTTTGTAGTTTGGGCTTGCGTTTCAGAAAATGGCAATTTTCATAGGAATTTCGCATCAGAAATTCCCCCCCCCCAAAAAAACCCCGACCTTCGATTGGCTCCATCCTCCACATTTTTGGTCATTTGTGACTAAAATTTCCTGACAGACTAAAGCGTAAATTGGGAAAAAAGGGCTTTTAAGTGTCTTCAAAGAAGACTTTCAAGCCACTTCAATGATATCAAAACCTATTTGAAAGCACTGAAAGAAACCTGGATCGAGAGAAATAAAACAAACAAACAAATAAATCAGAATAAGATTTGAGTAACTACTGGAATTGAAATTGTGGTACATTTTTATTGGGCTTCATTTCCCCCTGAATTAAGCACCTCAAAGATAGATAGATGATAGATAGATAGATAGATAGATAGATAGATAGATAGATAGATAGATAGATAGATAGATACACACACACTAGCCGTTCCCTGCCACATGTTGCTGTGGCCCAGTCTGTTGATCTGGAAAATCAAGTAATGAGAAAGTGTTGGTTTCTAATATATGTAATTTCTTTCTGCTTGTGGGTAAACAGTATTTCTTGTTGTTCCTTTGTTGGTGTTGATGTGGAGAGTGTCTGGTTTGCCTATTCTGGAACAGGCAACATATCATTGCCCATCTTTAGGGGTCCCTTTCAAGTCTATGATACTATATCTCTATGTGTGTGAATCATGTCTATCTGTCTATCTATCTATCTATCTATCTATCTATCTATCTATCTATCTATCATCTATCTATCTATCTATCTATATCTATGGCTGGATGGCTCTTTGTCAGGAGGGCTTTGATTACGTTTTCTTGCCCTGATGAAGGGAGTTGGATTGGATGGCCTTATGTATTTTCTGTTGGTCATGGGGACTCTGTGTGGGAAGTTTGCCCCGATTCTGTCATTTGTGGGGTTCAGAATACTCTTTGATTGTAGGTGAACTATAAATCCCAGTAACTATAACTCCCAAATGTCAAGGCTTATTTCTTCCAAACTCCATCTGTGTTTATGTTTGGACATATGGAATATTCATGCCAAATTTGGTCCAGATCCATCATTATTTGATGCTTTCTGGATGTAGGTGAACTATAAATCCTAGCAACTACAACTCCCAAATGTCAAGGCCTATTTTTCCCAAACTCCACCAGTGTTCACATTTGGGCATATTGAGTATTAGTGCCTAGTTTGGTCCAGATCCATCATTGTTTGAGTCCACAGTGCTCTCTGGATGTAGGTGAACTACAACTCCCAAACTCAAGCCCACCAAACTCTTCTAGTGTTTTCTGTTGTTCATGGGAGTCCTGTGTGCCATGTTTGGTTCAATTCCATCATTGGTGGAGTTCAGAATGCTCTTTGATTGTAGGTGAACTGTGAATCCCAGCAACTACAACTCCCAAATGTCAAGATTCTATTTTCCCCAAACTCCACCAATGTTCAAATTTGGGCATATTGAGTTTCCATGCCAAGTTTGGTCCAGATCCATCATTGTTTGAGTCCACAGTGTAGGTAAACTACAACTCTCAAACTCAAGGCCAATGCCAACCAAACCCTTCTAGTGTTTTCTGTTGGTCATGGGAGTCCTTTGTGCCATGTTTTGTTCAATTCCATCATTGGTGGAGTTCAGAATGCTCTTTGATTGTAGGGGAACTATAAATCCCAGCAACTACAGCTCCCAAATGACAAAATCAATTCTTTTTTTAGTGGTGGTCACTCCTTGGGTTAGTAGGTGCCTTGTGGCCAAATTTGTCAGGAATTCATCCAGTGATTTTGAATTATGTTAATCCCTCAAACGAACATTACACACACACACACACACACACATATGAGAGAGAGAATATTTTAAAATACAGTTAAAATATATATCCTTTCCACAAGGCAAGATGGATGCTCTGTAGTACAATCATTCAAGGCACACACACATATATACAGTAGAGTCTCACTTATCCAACCTTTACTTATCCAACATTCGTAGTCCAGGGTGGGAGAAAGAAAGAACCCTTGTCTGTTTTGTGCTAAATAAATAAATTACTACATAATGTTACAGTGTATTGAAGTGCTTTTTCTGTCAATTTGCCATTGCCTATAATGGGACTTGACCATCCTTTGGGGCCTACCAGCTTTTTTGAGATTGCAATCCATAGCAAGATCCCAAAAACCAGGTCCTGTCTATACAATAATAGCCAATTCTTTCCATTTTTGTGGCTGAAGAAGTCCTTAAAGTCTGTTTTGAGGTTCTGCTAGAGATCTATGTTCATACACAGCAAAATCTATTTCTTTCAACTTCCTCCATTAATAATAATAATAATAATAATAATAATAATAATAATAATAATAATAATCTTTATTTATACCCCACCACCATCTTCCAAGGGGACTCAGGGTGGAAGCCTTGCCTCCATTGCCTCTCTATCCCCTTGCCCTTTCTTTTGTTAAGTCCGCTGTGCGCACATATATGAGCCAGGAATGAGCCTCTTTCTCTTTTGTCTTCTCTGACAGATGTGGGACCAAACAGGCCGCGCTTGTTCGGAGGAATTGCGAGCGAAGAGCAAGAATTTAAAGCACAATTCGGATGACAGGTGAGATTGATAAAGGAGCCAACAACTCAGAAGTGTATATATATATATATATATATATATATATATATATATATATACTGGGATGGAAGTAAGCATGATCTCCAATAATCTATTATTATTGGTTGCTGTGAGCTTTTCGGACTGTATGGCTATGTTCCAGAAGCATTCTCTCCTGACATTTCGTCCACATCTATGGCAGGCATCCTCAGAGGTTGTGAAACTAGGCAAGTGTTGTTTATATATCTGGGGAATGTCCAAAGTGTGAGAAATATCTTTTGTCTGTTGGAGGCAAGTTTATTTATTTATTTATTTATTTATTTATTTACTTCACTTATATACCGCAATTCTCAGCCCAGGGGTGACTCATCGCGGTGTACAACATAGAAAAACAGGTGCAAAATACAAGACATAGTGTGAATATTGCAACTGGCCACCTTGATGATGATGATAATAATAATAATAATAATAATAATAATAATAATAATAATAATAATAATAATAAACTTTATTTGTACCCCGCTACCATCTCCCCAAGGGACTCGGTGCGGCTTACATGAGGCCAAGCCCAAAATATATCATTAGCACTGAATAGCCTTGCAGCTTCAAAGTGTCGCTGCTTCCTGCCTGGGGGAATTCTTTGTTGGTAGGTGATTAGCTGTCCCTCTTACTTAGCATTGAATAGCTTCAAGGCTTGGCTGCTTCCTGCTTGGGGGAATCCTTTGTTGGGAGGTTATTAGCTGGCCCTGTTGCTTAGCATTGAATAGCTTCAAGGCATGGCTGCTTCCTGCCTGGGGGAATCCTTTGTTGCGAGGTTAATAGCTGGCCCTGTTGATTAGCATTGAATAGCTTCAAGGCTTGGCTGCTTCCTGCTTGGGGGAATCCTTTGTTGGGAGGTGATTAGCTGGCCCTCTTGCTTAGCATTGAATAGCTTCAAGGATTGGCTGCTTCCTGCTTGGGGGAATCCTTTGTTGGGAGGTGATTCGCTGGCCCTCTTGCTTAGCATTGAATAGCTTCGAGGCTTGGCTGCTTCCTGCCTGGGGGGAATCCTTTGTTGGGAGGTGATTAGCTATCCCTGATTGTTTCTTGTCTGAAATTCCCCTATTTTTGAGTGTTGTTCTTTATTTGAGTCTTGTTCTTTCTAGATATTCCACAGGTATATAAACCTCACTCGCCTTGTTTCCAACAGACTCCTCAACCTATGGATGCCTGCGATAGATGTGGGAGAAATGTCAAGAGAGAATGCTTCTGGAACATGGCTAGACAGCCCAGAAAACTCACAGCAACCCAATAGCCAGTATATATATCCAGGGTTGCCCAAGAGTTGGAGGGGCTGTTCTCCTCCTGCTTTCTCCCTTCCCCAGCTCTGAGAAGACCTACTTCAAAATGTCTCTATGGCAATGCTCTTTGGGAAGGGTCTCTCTGTGGCTCTTTCTTTCCTCCTTCCCTCATGCATCTTCTTCTTCTCTCCTTTCTCTCCTTCCTTCCTTCCCTTTCCCTCATACACCTACCCCCTCCTCTTACTCCCTCTTTCTTCTTTTTCTTTCTTTCCCTCCCCATATCTTTTCTCCTTCCTTTCTTTCTCCTTTGCTTTCCCTCATACACCTTTATCCTTCTTTCTTTTTCTTTCCTTCCCCTCCTATCTTTTCTCCTTCCTTCCTTCCTTCCTTCCTTCCTTCCTTCCTTCCTTCCTTCCTTCCTTCCTTCCTTCCTTCCTTTCTTCCTCCTTCCTTCCTTGCTTTCCATTTTTCTCTTTTTTCTTTCCTTCCCTCCTATCTTTTCTCCTTTCTCCTTTCTCCTTTCTCCTTCCTTCCTTCCTTCCTTCCTTCCTTCCTTCCTTCCTTCCTTCCTTCCTTCCTTCCTTCCTTCCTTTCCCTTTTTTCTCTTTCTTCCTCTCTCTCTCTCTCTCTCTTTCTTGCTTCCCTTTCTCTCGGGGCCCTTCCACACAGCCATGTAGCCCAGAATATCAAGGCTGATAATCCGTAATATTGGCTTTGAACTTGGTTATCTGAGTCCACACTGCCATATAACCCAGTTCAAAGCAGATAATGTGGGATTTTATACAGCTGCGTGGAAGGGGCCTCATATGCATGTCATCTTTCTTTTCCAGTGACATTGAGAGGGCCACCCTTTGTAGTACAAGCAGTTGTGGCGCAGCTGGTTGGGAGTCAGCTGCATTAAAATCACTACTGACCGAAAGGTCATGAGTTAGAATCTAGCCTGGGTCAGAGTAAGCTCCTGACCATTTGCCTAGCTTGCTGTCAACCTTTGCAGCCCGAAAGACAGTTGCATCTGTCAGTTAGGAAATTTAGGTACCACCTATGCGGGGAGGCTAATTTAACTAATTTAGGAAGCCATAAAAATCTCCAGCAGCGTGCAAAAGAATGAGGAAGTACTCCATCAGTGTCGCAAGTGGACGGCGAACCAACCCCTCCCCCCAGTGGCCAGAATTTGAAGCATAACCTCATGAAGCTGGAAAGTTAAATAGCCTCTGTGTGTCTGTCTATATCAGGGGTCCTCAAACTGTTTAAACAGAGGGCCAGGTCACAGTCCCTCAAACTGTTGGAGGGCCGGATTATAATTTGAAAAAAACACAAATGAATTCCTATGCACATTGCACATATCTTATTTGTAGTGCAAAAAACATTTAAAAATAATACAATAATTGTCGAAGGATTTCATGGCCGGAATCACTGGGTTGTTGTAGGTTTTTTCGGGCTGTATGGCCATGGTCTAGAGGCATTCTCTCCTGACGTTTCGCCTGCATCTATGGCAAGCATCCTCAGAGGTTGTGAGGCACTCTGGGAGCATTCTCTCCTGACCTTTTGCATCCTCAGAGGTTGTGAGGTCCTCTAGATACAATACAATAATTAAAATGAAGAACAATTTTAACAACTGTTGATGAGATAGGGTTGTTGTTGTTGTTGTTGTGTGCTGTCAATTAGTTTCAGACTTAGATTGACCCTGAGTGAGGGCCGGATAAATGACCTTGGAGGGCCATATCCGGCCCTCGGGCCTTAGTTTGAGGACCCCTGGTCTATATATTTTGTTTGTCTATGGCATTGAATGTTTGCCATGTATATGTGCATTGTGATCTGCCTTGAGTCTCCTGCGGGGTGAGAAATGAGGAATATAAATACTGTAAATATATATATACATACATGGACTTTTATATATATTTAAAATGTTGCAGCTGACTTCAACAGGAAGATCCTAACTATAACCCCACATCTTCCTTTTTCTTCTTCTTCTGCTGTCATCAGAAATAAACGCAATGCCATTGCCAACACACTTAAAGAATTGGCTCAGATGTTGCCCATCCCCTTGCGGACTGGCTGCAAGAGGCTGACGAAGGTATTGTGCCGCAGAATGTGTTGTTGTGAACCAAGTTCAAAATGCAAAAGTCATGTGTATTCCATTAACACATCAGGAGAGAGGAGAGAGCCTCTTCTGGCTTGGGCCAATTAAGAATTGTTTCCAGCTTGGTCACATTCAGATGCTGCCTCGTGTTTCCCGGTTTATAATATTATTCGGTACGACTTGTCCATGTGGTGCATCCAATTTTGCATCAATAACAACATTTGGGGGGAAAAATCTGTTCCTGGTTTGAAAGTGTAATTTCCTGTTTAATTATGTGGTCCTTACTCTTTTACTTCAGAAACTTTGTTTTTTGTGGTTGCCACAAGCTATGTTAAGACTCAGTTCTTGTGGGTTTTTTCGGGCTATATGGCCATGTTCTAGAGGCATTTCTCCTGACGTTTCGCCTGCATCTATGGCAAGCTTCCTCAGAGGTGAGGTCTGGCTGTTAAGACTGGCTGCCAGTTTGCTACCGGGCACAATTCAAAGTACTGGCTTTAGCCTACAAAGCTCTAAACCAGTGGTTCTCAACCTGGGGTCCCCAGATGTTTTTGGTCTACAACTCCCAGAAATCCCAGCCAGTTTATCAGCAGTTAGGATTTCTGGGAGTTGAAGGCCAAAAACACGTGGCGACCCCAGGTTGAGAACCACTGCAGCCTAAAAGGTTCCGGCCCAGCTTATCTATCCAAACGCATCTCTCCCTATGAACTTCCAGGAAGTTGTGATCGTCCTCTTGATCCCACCTGCTTCACAAGCATGTCTGGTGGGGACGAGAGACAGGGCCTTCTTTGTGGTGGCCCCTCGGCTGTGGAACTCCCTCCCTAGGGATATTAGATCGCCCCTCTCCCTCCTGATCTTTTGAAAAAGGGTGAAAACCTGGCTCTTTGAGCAAGCGTTTGGAACCTCGACATGACCAGATAAACTCAAATCGGAAAATAAACTAGGAAAGGCTAAGACGACGGAACGGTTGAGGATTTGAACAAGAAGACATGTTGTTCATTTGTTCAGTCGTTTCTGACTCTTCGTGACTTCATGGACCAGTCCACGCCAGAGCTCCCTGTCGGTCGTCACCACCCCCAGCTCCTTTAAGGACAATCCAGTCACTTCAAGGATACCATCCATCCATTTTGCCCTTGGTCAGCCCCTCTTCCTTTTTCCTTCCATTCAAGAAGACATAGTTTTTATAATTTTTATTGTTTATTGCTTTTATGGTTTTTAAATGTATTGTGATATTTCTTTTTGCTTTTTATTGATGTATATATTTTTAGATATGGCATCTAACTGTTGCTGATTTGTAAGCCGCCCTGAGTTGCCTTCGGGCTGATATGGGTGAGATAAAAAATGATGTAAATAAATAAATAAATAAATAAATAAATAATTTATGAGATATTCATTGAAAGTGGTTGAGACTCTATAAGATATTCATTGAAAAACTAGAGCAAACAGTGCTACAGGATATCCCTCCCACACAAACAAGTTTTTGCAGTTTAATAAACATTTTCCGTGTTTTTATAATAGAACCAATTAGGAAACGACATTTATAACCCAGGAACAAAAAATGTGTTATATGTGTTTACATTATTCCTTTTGCTCTTCCCTCTGTTTTGTTTTGTATTATTCAACTTGAAACAGAAGGAAGTTCTTCTCCGGGTCCTCCGCTACATTGAGCACTTGCAGGCAAACATCGATACTGCCAAATCCTTGCTCCAAGCCAAGTCTGATGAACCAAAAGGTAACGTAGTGTTGTAGTTCAGCCTTTGACCATGCCTTCACCTCATGTCACTGCAGATTCTGGGCCTGAAGCTCACCAAGCCAGCAGGAGATTTCTGGAGATTCTGGGCCTGCAAGTTAGCAGGAGATTTTAAGCCCTGAAACTGTGCACTCTCTGTCTCCAGTATCTGATGAAGGCCACATTCCAGAAAGGGGCCCTTGACATTTAGGAGTTTTAATTTCTGGGATTTATAGTTCACCTGCAATCAAAGAGCATTCTGAACCTCACCAATGATTGAATTGAGCTAAACTTCCCACACAGAACCCCCATGATCAACAGAAAATACTGTGTTTTCTGATGGTCTTTGACAACCCCTCTGACACCCCCTCGTGACCCCCTGGGGTTCCCAACCCCCAGGTTGAGAAATGCTGGCTTAGAGGATGAGATTCCAGGTGGACAGACTAATGAGGTGATAGATAGGAGATTTATGTTCCGTAAACACAGAGCTGCTCAGCAGAGATTGCGAAGGTCAAAATGCTTGTTATCCAAGAAGTCATTATCAGTTCCTCAAGGGAGAAGGCATAATTTTCTGTCTATATTAGCCAGAAGACCAGAGGGCTTTTTCAGCAATCTGGTCAACGTTGATATTTGAGGACACATCTCGCGCCAAGTCAAGCCTCGTAAGGGATTGCTAGTTCCAGGTTTCCTGTTGCTCGTGTTCCATGCTTCCAAGTTTCAAAGATTGTTCCTGAATCTCGTGTTTTGGATTTATTCTGCTTTTGTATTTCCTGGATTCTGATGCTACTCTTGTACCTGGAATTTTGTGGACTATTTCTTACATTTCAACTTTTTGTATTATTTTGTATTGCTGAACCACCTTTAACATTCCTCTATAAATTGCTTTGCTGATTTTACTTGGATTGGAGTGTGGTGTTAAAATACAGAGGTGTTCCCAGCCCTGGAATACAACATGCAGCATCGAAAGGAGATAACTTGTTGAGCAAAAGCAAAGAAAGACATGTAGCTACAAACTTTGGCCCGCCAGGTGTTTTGGACTTCCTACCGGCTGTTAGGAATTGTGGGAGTTGAAGTCCAAAATACCTGGAGGGCCAAAATTCTCAATTTCTGAGCTAGAGAGACACCAGGAAATCAAATTTAGTTTTATGAAGAAGAAGAAAGTATACCATTACTTACTTACTTTTTACTTAGGTGATCCCTCATAGCCCAAGGATGATGGTCCTCCAATTGTAGTGTATTGGTGGTGGATCTGTAGGTGGCTGTGGAGCCCTATTCTTGATCTGCGTGTTCTCCCGCAGTTAGGTCATTGGTTTCCAGGTGGAAGGCGGTCCCGGTCAGGGTTGGCTTGGTGCGCCTTCCTCTTGGCCCATTTCTCCCTTTCGCCCTCAATTTGTGTCTTTTTGAATTCTGCAGCACTGCTGGTCACAGCTGACCTCTAGCTAGAGCGCTCAAGGACCAAGGCTTCCCAGTTCTCAGTGTCTATGCATACCATACCACTGATATGAACCATACCAATGATATGAATAAACAGAAAGGAGACATGGAAAGAAGTAGACAGTTAGTGACAGTATCTGATGTAGCAGAGAAATCTATGAAAATGAAGACTTTGTCGCATCTCAGAATAGATTCACCTTGCTGAAATCACCAGAACTGCACACAGACTGAAGTCTTTGTAGTTTATTAAAAAGTAAAAGATGAAAAGTTTAAAAAGCAAGTAGTGTTCCACAGATCAATAAAACATAGCACTGTAAAGCAGAATTCCAAATGGCACCAACGAAACAAAGTCCCATGAGAACATGACAAAATCCCAAGACCGTGGACACAGGAAAACGAGCACAAGCTGCTTGGTTGAGTGAGAAGTTGCTCTGACAAAGGTTTGTTTTCCAAAAATCACTGCTTAATACCCTTTGCAATACATGAAAGCATTTCTTTGGCCTCTGACCTCCTTCTTGTTGGCTATTCTCACACTCCTTCAAACTCTGAATTCCAAACGGTCAGCCCGATCTAAGATTCCCGTTTCCTCAAGGTCAGGCTGCTCATTAGTGTCAGCCTGGTTGCCTTCCTGCCTACTATCAGGCTGAGAACTGTCCTCCTTTTCTGAGTCAATTTGCACCTGGCTAGTTTCAAAAACATCATTCCCTGCTGTGGGAAACTGAACTTGCACACCCTGTTCCTCATTGTCTACAACAGGAACATTTTGAACCTGATTGTGAACCTGAATCCCATCATCCTCGTCAGAGTCACTCTGAGACCCCATCTGAGTCACAACACTATCAGTCTGTGTCTGTGGTTCCAGCTGAGTCACAACAGACTTCTAAAAAAAAACCCGATGCGCAGGAAACATCCTATGTGGTACAACCAGGTCTTCTTTTCTTTTCTTTTTTCAAGCGAAAGAGACTGAGCTGGTGGTGATACCGACCACAAAGAGAAGACGAAGGGAGGCCACGCCACTGGCAAAGAAAACGAAGTCCTCCAATGTTTGCAAGAAACCCAGGAAGAGGAAACGCAGCCACAGAACAGGTTGGGAGAAGGAGTCTGTGGACACGAGGTTCTGCAACCACTTCTTTGATGGATTGCATTTATTGCTTCTGGGACAGGGGATAGTTTTGGAGAAGTTCAGACAAGTAATTATGAGTTTGAAAGGATACCTAGATCTGTACACCCTTGTAGAGATTAAACTTGGGGGCCTTTGAACTAAGCAAAATGAGAGCCCCAAATGTTAAAACAAGGCAGTTGAGTGGGTCACTGTGAGTTTTCCGGGCTGTCTGGCCATGTTCCAGAAGCATTCCCTCCTGAGGTTTCGCCCACATCTATGGCAGGCATCCTCAGAGGTTGCCTGTGAGGTCTTTTGGAAACTAGGAAAATGGGGTTTCTATATCTGTGGAAAAATGTCCATGGTGGAAAAAAGAACTCTTGTGTGTTTGAGGCAAGTGTGATTGTTGCAATTGACCACCTTGATTAACATTTAATGGCCTCGCAGCTTCAAAGCCTGACTGGTTACTTCCTGGTTGCTGCAGTCTCATTTCAAAAGGGAGGAGAAAAGGACATTCATGGAGTTGTGTTGTCAAAGGCTTTCATGGCTGGAATCACTGGGTTGCTGTGAGTTTTCGTGCTGTCTGGCCATGTTCCAGAAGTTCCAGGGTGGGAGAAAGAATTCTTGTCTGTTTGAGGCAAGTGTGAATGTTGTAATGGGCCATCTTGATTAGCATTGGAAAGCCTTGCAGCTTCAAAACCTGGCTGCTTCCTGCCTGGGGGAATCCTTTGTTGGGAGGTGTTAGCTGGCCCTGATTGTTTCCTGTCTGGAATTCTCCTGTTTACCGAGTGTTGTTCTTTAATTACTGTCCTGATTTCAGAGTTTTTTAAAATACTGTTAGCCAGATTGTGTTCATTTTCATGGCTTCTTCATTTCTGTTGAAATTGTCCACATGCTTGTGGATTTCAATGGCTTCTCTGTGTAGTCTGACATGTGGTTGTGAGAGTGGTCCAGCATTTCTGTGTTCTCAAATAATATGCTGTGTCCAGGCTGGTTCATCAGGTGCTCTGCTATGTCTGACTTCTCTGGTTGGAGTAGTCTGCAGTGCCTTTCATGTTCCTTGATGCGTGTTTGGGCAACGCTGCGTTTGGTGGTCCCTATGTAGACTTGTCCACAGCTGCATGGTACACGGTAGACTCCTTCAGAGGTGAGAGGATCCCTCTTGTCCTTTACTGAGCGTATCATTTGTTGGATTTTCTTAGTGGGTCTGTAGACCTCACTACCTCTGAAGATGCTTGCCATAGATGCAGGCGAAACGTCAGGAGAGAATGCCTCTAGAACTTGGCCATATAGCCCGAAAAAACGTACAACTACCCAGTCTGTAGATAGTTTGTATGTTGTGTTTCCTCATCAGCTTCCGTATGCGGCCAGTGGTTCTCTTGATGTTTGGCAAGAACACTTTTCCTCCAGGTGGATCTTTGTCTTGACTCTTGTGGTTTGTTCTCTGTCTTGCAGCTCTTCTGATGTCTGTGGTGGAGTCTCCATTGGCCTGTAAAGCCCAGTTGAGGTG